CATCGCTCCAGGCCCAGCGGGAGGACGCGCCAACATCTCAGCTGCTGCGCTTGGCCCGGGGCGTGCCCGTGGCTGCTCCTACCTCTGGGCCCCGGCTGGGGCCGTCCCGGGGCTGCGGTTGCTCGGCACTGCGGGGGGGTCGGCAGAGCCTCGGACCCGGTCTCTCTCCCCGCGAACGCAACGGTGTGGGGCCCTGGCCGGCTGACTCACCTACGGCTGCAACGGCCATGCCTGGCTGGCCCTGGGGGCTGCTGCTGACCGCGGGCACGCTCTCCGCCGCGCTGAGCCCGGGGCCGCCAGCGCCTGCCGACCCCTGCCATGACGAGGGGGGTGCGCCCCGCGGCTGTGTGCCCGGCCTGGTGAATGCGGCCTTGGGCCGTGAGGTGCTGGCGTCCAGCACGTGCGGGCGGCCGCCCACGCGGGCCTGCGATGCCTCGGACCCGCGGCGGGCACACCCAACAGCCCTCCTGACCTCCGCAGGGGGCACCGCAAGCCCAATGTGCTGGCATTCGGACTGGCTGACGCAGGTGCCCCTCAACGTGACCCTTACAGTGCCCCTGGGCAAGGCTTTTGAGCTGGTATTTGTGAGTTTGCGCTTCTGTTCCACGCCCCCAACTTCGGTGGCCCTGCTCAAGTCACAGGATCACGGCCGCAGCTGGGCCCCGCTGGGCTTCTTCTCCTCCCACTGTGGCCTGGACTACGGCCGCCTGCCTGCCCCTGCCGGTGGCCTAGTTGGTCCAGGGCCTGAAGCTCTGTGCTTCCCTGAGCCCCAGGCCCAGTCGGATGGTGGTGGCCTTCTGGCCTTCAGCGTACAGGACAGCAGCCCACCAGGCCTGGATCTGGACAGCAGCCCTGTGCTCCAAGACTGGGTGACCGCCACGGACATTCGAGTAGTGCTCACAAGGCCTGCCATGCTGGGGGACACCAGGGACCCCCCAGCCATGGTCCCTTACTCTTACTCAGCCACTGAGCTCCAGGTGGGCGGGCGCTGCAAGTGCAATGGGCATGCCTCCCGGTGCTTGCTGGACACCCAGGGCCACCTGATCTGCGACTGCCGGCATGGCACGGAGGGTCCTGACTGTGGCCGCTGCAAGCCCTTCTACTGCGACAGGCCGTGGCAACGGGCCACGGCCCGGGAAGCCCACGCCTGCCTTGGTGAGGCCTTGGAGGGTGGCCTGGGGATTTTGGACCCAGCCAGCCTGCCCCTGACCCATACTTCCCTGCAGCTTGCTCCTGCAATGGCCATGCCCGCCGCTGCCGCTTCAACATGGAGCTGTACCGACTATCCGGCCGCCGCAGTGGCGGTGTCTGCCTCAACTGCCGGCACAATACTGCTGGCCGCCACTGCCACTATTGCCGGGAGGGCTTCTATCGGGACCCAGGTCGTGCCCTGAGTGACCGCCGTGCTTGCAGGGGTGAGCCTGGCACTAGCCACCTGCACACCCTCACCCTCTAATCTCTCATATCCCCAGATGGGTTTCTAATCATCTCACCTCTGTCCTCAGCCTGTGACTGTCATCCTGTTGGTGCTGCTGGCAAAACCTGCAACCAAACCACAGGCCAGTGTCCCTGCAAGGACGGTGTCACCGGCCTCACCTGTAATCGCTGTGCCCTTGGCTTCCAGCAGAGCCGCTCTCCGGTGGCACCCTGTGTTAGTGAGTGATCCTGCCCTGCTTAGGCCACCCCATCTCCCCGCTGCTGCCTACTTGCCCCCTGAGCCCTGCAGATATCCCTGTCCTCCTCGAATGCAGGCCCTTCTCTCACCCTCTCCACAGAGACCCCTGTCCCTGGACCCACTGAAGAGAGCAGCCCTGTGGAGCCCGAGGGTGAGTGGACACAGACCAGGATTCCAGACTGGCATGTCCGTAGGGGGAGGGGAGCATGAGTTCAAGGAGAGAAGGAGGGGGTGGGGGAAAGGAGGTGGGAATCTATGCCAGCCCTACCCTTCCTCATTCCCCAGACTGCGACTTGCACTGTAAACCTGCCCGTGGCAGCTACCGCATCAGCCTGAAGAAGTTCTGCAGGAAGGATTATGGTAGGCAGTCCTCAAGCCTCCTGCCCCTAATCTTCTCACCTTGCACTCCACACTTTCCCTTTGGATACCCTGACCCTTGTTGGGCCCCAAGGTATCCCCCATCCCTCAGGTCCCCCACTTCTGCTGGCCCCACTCGGGCAGCCCCTGGTGGCCTGTTCCGCTGCTGCGAGTATCCTCTCTGTGCCTGCCCCGAGCCGATGGGTGTCCTCTGTGTCCTTCCTCCCCGCCTTCCACCCGGCCGTGAGTGCTCTGTCTTCCTCTGCGTGATCCACTCCCTCCCCGCCTGACCCTGCCCCGGTCTCTCCTTCCCGCAGCGGTGCAGGTGGCGGTGGGCGCGCGCGGCGAGGCACGTGGCTCGTGGACGCGCTTTCCAGTGGCTGTGCTCGCTGTGTTCCGGAGTGGCGAGGAGCGCGCGCGGCGCGGGAGCAGCGCGCTGTGGGTGCCCACGAGGGATGCGGCCTGTGGCTGCCCACGCCTGCTGCCCGGGCGCCGCTACCTGCTGCTAGGGGGCAAGCCAGGAACTGCGGTCGGGGGTCCGGGGGGCCGAGGGCCGGGGCTCAGCGCTGCCCGCGGGAGTCTTGTGCTTCCCTGGCGCGACGCGTGGACGCGGCGCCTTCGGAGGCTGCAGCGGCGAGAGCGGCGGGGCCGCTGCCAGGCAGCCTGAGCCTGCGGGCGGGGCGGGAACCGTAAGGGCGCTGTTCCCACATCAAGGCGCACTTTCAGCCAGTGCATCCGCCTACAGAGGAGTCTTTGCTCGCGTCGCGCGCGTCGCCATCTAGACCCCCGCCCAACCCTGCGGGCGCCTCCCTTTATGCCTCACGCCCGTGCCCAGATGTATGAGGGACACAGCGACCCAGAAGGATGAAATAGCCCCAAAGAGCTTTTTCAAGGCTTCTTCTGGCAGCTGTCATCCTAGAGGACTCCTTGGTCCCCCCACCCTCGCAGTATCTGCCCACTCCACAGGGCACCATGATACCCCCATAAGACTGTGAACCTCCTTGTGGTGGCCAACTCTTTGGAGCTTTGCGACCACCCCAAGGGAATCTGTGCCCCGCCTCCCCCTGATGTCATGGGCCCCAGAGAGCGTTCTAACCTTTTAAAAAGGCACTGTGACATCCCCCAGTAATGAACCCTCTTATGAATCGAGGATCCATCGTAGGTCTGAGAACACGCCCAAGAGCCGCGGTGATTCCACCCCCTCACGGACTCTGTGATCCGCCAGAGAGCGCTATGATTCACCGAGAGGCACTGTGACCATCATAGACTCCCATGGACCCCTATGGAGCTTAGCGACACTGGTCCCCCGTCTCTGCCAGGACCCGCAGAGGGCGCTGTGACTCCTCCTCCAGCGGGGACGGCGTCCTGTTTTGTCTGTCACTTATGCCTACCCTGTCTATGCCCTGGGCGTCCGTCCCTGTCACCGCTGCGTCTCTGCCTGTGTTCGGCCTCTTTCTTGGACTGCTGTGTCCTTGTCTCTTGTCTCCGTCTGGCTATCTCTCTAGGTCTCAGTCTCATGGCTCCTCCGCTAAGGTCCTGCCCCGAATATCCTCTGCGCCCCTTCTCCACCTGCTCAGGACCGGACATCGTGCTTATGCAGACGCGCGTTCCCGCGTCTACACGTAGCCTAATGGGGCGTCGACTCCGGCAGGCAGCCCTCCCGGCTCTCAAAGCCCCAGATCCTGCCTTAGGCAGGTCCCCGCTGCCTGCCCCCCAATCTGCTCCTGCGGGAGGGAACCGCTCACTAGCCGGTGCCTGGGTGTCGGGGCCAGTCCTGGGCCAGAGCAGGCTCTCCGCCCCGCGGCGGGGCGTCAGCGCGCATGCCCAGAGCCCTCTGTGGCCGAGACCCGAGGCGCCTGGGGTGGGCAGCCTGCAGCGCGTGCTCGGCGGGGGCGGGACCGCGTGGGCGCGTGCGCAGAAAGCCGGCGCTCAGTCGTGCGGAGAGCTGAAGAGAAAGCGGCGCCGCGCGGCACAGCCGTGAAGGTGGGTACGCCGCTCGCTCGGCGGGCGGGGGGCGTGGCGGGGACCGCAGCAGGTACTGCGGGATCGGGTTGCGGGCTGTCATCGCGGCGGGGGCGTGCCGAGAAAGGAGCGTGGGGGCCAGACTGAGGGGCCTCTGTCTGAGATGGGGCGCGGGGGCCGGCTGCGGCGTGGGGGTCCCGGGCCCAAGGCTGTCCGCCTGGCACTGCCCGCCTTTCCCTGCGCCGCCCCGGGGACCGAGCGCCGGGCGGGGCGCGACGTGGGGCCTGAGCCGACCTCCGCCCCGCCAGACACCCAACCTGGGGATAGGGCCGGCGCCCCCGACCAGCAGCAGTCTGTGCTGGCCAGCCCAGGGCGAGGCGTCGGTCGGAAGGAGCTGTGCTGTGTCACTCCGTCTCTCTTTCTCCACGGGGTAGGAAATCCTCTTCTGGACTCGAAATTGCAACATATTCTCTGATAACGTTCTGCTGTCAAAGATCTACAACTACTCCTCTTCCAGCTCTCTGCTTGTCTAAGGATGACATTACCACCCAGATTCTGAGCCCTGTCTGGCTGCCCCCCTGATGTCGCAGCTGTGCTGGGAGACAAGCATTTTCACAGGGCCCTGTGCTCTGTGAATCTTGACTAAGCACAGCTAGAGGTTGGGGATGGTCGTCACCTGGTCAAGATTTTCTCCCGGCAGGGGTGCTGGTGGCCAGAACACAGGTTTTCTTTCATCTGTGACCTTACTCAGTATGGAAACAAATGTGCTGTGGGCCTCCTGGGTTATCACTCTGTGGGCTGATGTTAAAGGCCAAATTTTGTCTAAGAACCACCTGGGCTGTGCGGAGGCACAGTTCGACTGTTAGATTAGTGGTGCTAGAGAGACAGGCCTGGTGGCGGATGTGGCTGTGGTTGTGATGCTGGTGTTGTGGTCCTTCTCCAGCTATTTCTTCTAAGTCATTAGTCTGCTTTTGCAGGGCCAATAGAAGCACTCGAAGGTGATTTTCCTCATTTCACTGTATGTTTGCTTCAAAGTCAGGAGGGACTTTCAGGCAATTTCAAAAAAAGACTACCCCATTATTGGGCAGATGTAGCTATTTCCTCCACTTTAGGGTGGGGGCTCCATCTCCACTTTCTGCCCTCAGCATATAGTAGGCACCTGCAAATGTTTGCTTAATTGTTTTAAAGACAAGCATGCAGGTTCTTTTTAAAGGATATAGGCTGGGAGAAACCGAGATAAGATCAAGAAACCTCACAAAGATGTTAGAGTTTATAAAGGTTTAAAGCCAGTAGAATGACCCCCACATGTGCTTCATTTTATTCTAAAGGTTGGTCCTCATCTAATCTTCTCAGCCCTCAGATTAAGCCTTTAAGTGAAGTGTTTATCACGTAGTGAGTGCTCTGTTTAGAAGCTTGTCTCTCCCTGTAAACAGGGCTGGAGGCACCTTGCATTCATCTTTGCTCCCCCATTGCCTGGCTTGGAATGGTTGTTGAAATGAACCAAGGTACTAAAACTAATGTAGTGGTTTTCATCTGCGAGTAAGGGTGACCTTCCAGGGGATGTGGAGGTGATGTAGTAGTTTTCATATGAGAGTAAGGGTGACCTTCCAGTGGATGTGGAGGTAATCTAATAATCTAGGCAGGCTTTTCATAACAATAAAATTCACCCCCTGGATCTGCAAGTTCACCGGCAGTGGGCCTCAGCAGCCCTTGCTGACCGCACCTGCCAGGACTGTCCAGAAGGCCAAGTGACCTTGGGCACGCATTGTTGCTTCTAATTCTCATAACAGTCTAAGCCAACTGCAGATGACATATTTAAGTGTTTACTTTTAGATGGTTTCTGGTTTAAAGTACACAAGGACAATGAAGCAGGTTATAAAACACTTAACATTTACCCTGTTCAATGTTTTACCTGTTTGAGCATACCTTTTCTGTTATGACAACTCTGTACATGGAAGAAAAAAGCCCTTTTTAACTCGAAGAAGCAATTTCAGCAGCTGTTTCAAGTGTCACTTTCCAAATGGAGATAATATCAGGTAATAAAACCTCAGGCCTTTTATGAGGAATCAACTTGAATTTATTATTTGATGAGTTTTAAAATTAATTCCACACAAGTTTATTGAAATCATACTTCACATGAAAAGGAGGCCCTGTGCCTTGTGTTCTGTGGCTACAAAGTTGAGCAAGTCTCTGCCTTTAAGGAACTTATAGTGCAGTAAAGAGCCAGGCCAGTGAACTGTGACACTGTAGGAGGTGCTCCCATAAAGGTGGACAGAGCTTGTTTTGGGCACAAGAGTGGCATCCAGTTGGCCTTTGGTGAGGGTTCCTCAGAAAGCTAAATATGAAGAACGAATAGGAATAGCAAGACCCTGTGAAGGAAAGAGCCTTCCGGTCAAAGAGACAGTGTGTGTGAAGTATCAAGGGCACGGCCCACCCACTGGCTGTTGGGGGAAGTATTAGCGGGCAGCTCTGGTGGTTGCGGTAAAGAGGGGGAGACAAAGTTAAGGGGCTAGGCTGATGGCACATCGGGCGAGGCCTTGAGTACCGGCCCGAGTTTGAATTGCACCCTGAGAGCAGTTGGAAGCCACCAAGGGATCTTGGGTCTGTGAGTGACTAATCAGATTGTGTTCTCCACAGGTAACTGGGCAGTGGTAGCCAGGATGGATTGATGAAAGGCTGTACTGAGTTGAGAGTGGTTAAGGGACCACCATAGAACATCTAGTGAAATGTCAGGCCCACTAGGAAGTAAGGGCAGTGGAGTGCAGAAAGCTGGGCAAAACTATGAGACACATATCAGTAGGGATGGAGGAAGGGCTAGGGGGAAAGGAAGACCTAGGGAACAGTCCAAGATTGGGTGACTTGCAGCTAGGTTCATGCCACACAGTGTGCAGGAAGGTGACAGGCTTGCGGGCAGGTGATGACTTTTAGTTTGGACATGTTGAGTTGAAGGTCATTAAGATCCCCAGTAGTAGGTGGATATATGTTGGTCTGGCACTAAGTGTGCTGGGCTTGAGAGAACTTGGGGGACTCCTTTCTGTGTGGTAGTGAAGCCAGGGAGTAGTGGGGTGGGGCCTTCCCAGGAGAGTGTGTGGAGTGAGAAAAAGAAGACTGAACTTTGGGGGCACTTAATGCTTTATGTCTGTAAAACAAAGTAGACTGCCTAACAGAAGTCTGATTAATAACCCCTTGCCTTTTGGGGGCACGGGGGCAGGATAGTGGGCTTTTTTATTTCTGTGACAAAGCCCCAGTTTGCTGGTTAGAGTAAGTGGCAAGATGTAAGATGTTAAAGGTGCAAAATCACATGATTGATTCCAGGGACTTTCCTGTCTCATGTGTTTATTTGCCTTTTGAGAAACTTTCAGATCGTCACTCATCTCAAAGGGACTACATTTCCCTCCAGACCAGGGGTTGGTCCTCTCAGAGCATTCTCACAATTAGATCTCTGAAAAAAAGGCCTTCTCAGACCCAGAGATAGATCCAAGTTTGCAGAATTCTCCAGGTCCCCTTGCTCTCGTTCCAGGCCCAGTTTCTGTGAGGTACCTCAGCATTAGTAGCAGGTGAGACTTTGGAAAGACCCTATTGAGGATACAGAAGTGTGTGGTGGCTCCTCCCAGTCTTTCTCCCACACTGGGGGTGGGGCATGGAGGGTGAGGAAAGGCTGATATCGTGAAAGAACCCATTTTTGTCTGATAACCTGCTCACTTAGGGGTTGTGAGACAAGTTCTCATTCTGTCCTGTACAGTTATGTCCCCCTGCCTGGTTGGGTACTGCACAAGGATCTGCTGGCAGGAGTCACATGTGAGCAGTCACGGTTTCTTCCTCCATCCCACCCAGGTGTGCTCTCTCCTTTTATAAGGGATTGAGAACACACTACACACTGCGTGGCCTGTTCCCCATAATCTGAAACTGTGTGTCTGCCTAATTGATACACAATTTTAACAGGGTACCTCACACATTGAGGGCTGTTTATCAATGGGCAATTCTGTTACCAATAAAAGCCTTTCCCTGTGTAGTGTTCGAAATGTAACTCATTACCTGCATCCCACCAAAAGCTTCGCTCACCTCTGTCCCTTCTGCCTTTCCTTGAGTCATTTTGCCCTTTTCCCTAATTCTCCTCTGTAATTTCTTATCCATCAAGAGTCATTTCAGCCTTCATATCTTGGGAAACCTGTGGTCCTTAGAAGGATCTGGGTGTATAATTTAACTCCTCCTGCCTCTGGCATCCTTCCCTGCCTTCCTGGATGTCCCCTCCCCACCTCCCAGCAAGCAGGACCACTGAGCTTCCTCAGCAGCCTCTGTCTGAGGCCCTTTGGCTTCTTGAAGCCTGTGAGCCTGGACTGTAGAATTGTCTTTTAATCTGAGCCACAAATGCCATTCAGCATTTAAAGAGCCAAAGGGCTTGCCAGCCCCTGAGCAGCTCTGCTCCCCTAGGCCCTGCCCTGTACCCATGCTGTTTCATCTGCTTCCTGCCACCTCATCCTTCAGGACTCAGCTGGGGCAGCGCTGGCTGAGGAAGTCTTCCAAACCCCTCTTTCCTCATGGGCTGGGGGCCCAGACACCTTGTGCTTTCCTCTTGTAGCACCTGCACCTGAGTTGGCATGGCCAATATACCCATTTCCCCACAGCCAGAAGCTCATTGAGAGCTGGGTCTGGGTCTCGCATCTTTGTATTTCAGCTCTTGGTACACCAGCATTCCGGAAGTGTCTCTCAAATGCCTATTAAAATGATTAAACCTGCAAGAATCCCTCCTGGCCCAGCTCTGTTGTTGTCAGGTCTAAAAATACTTGTGGAGAACCTGCTATGTGCCCAGCCTTCCACAGGTACCTTGCTTGGAATTCTAACTAGTTAAAACTCTAATGCTGCTGAATTCTCTACCTCTGATTGTCATTCTATTGCAGCTAGCTGGTTTATCCTATACCCCAGGGGGTGTTTTCCAGACCTGGCTGTTGGGAGGACCTTTTGAGCTCAGAAGATAAAGATCCTGAATTAGCAGATCACCATTCCAACCCCAGCCCCTGCCT